TTGACGTACAGATTCACACCGAACACGGACTCGTGACGCTTCTTCTTGAGCTCCTCAAATTTGCGCTTCAACTCCTGTTGGCGTTCAGCCTTCTTTTGGGCACGGGCAACATAAAGAGACTTGCCCTCGCCCATATCTTTGCCATTGAGCGCTTGCACGGCGGCCTCAGCAGCCTCTGTTGTTTCGTAGGCAACGAATCCGAAGCCCTTGCTCTTGCCATCTTCCTTGGACATGACCTGAAAAGGAAAAAGGGGAATAAAAAAACATATTATATGTAGGCATTTCGTTAACTTACTTTGTAGCTGGTAATCTTGCCGTATGGCTCAAAGAACTCCTTCAGCTTCTCATCATCAAACTCCTCGGTAAAGTTTTTAACGTAGACATTTGTGAAGAGCTTGGCCTTCTCGCCGAGCTCCTTCTCGCGCTCCTTGCGAGGAATGAATTTGCCGACGTAGACCTTCTTGCCGTTAAGCAACATGCCGTTGACCTTATCAATGGACGTATTCGCTGCCTCCTCTGTTTCGAAATGCACAAATCCGTAGCCCTTGGAGTTGCCCTTTTCATCGGTAGCAACTTTACAGCTTAAAATGTTTCCAAACGCGGAGAAAGTGTCATAAATGGCCTTGTTATCAATTGCCTTATCCAGGTTCTTGATGAACACATTGCCAACTCCGGAGCGGCGCAGTGATGGATCGCGTTGCGACCACATTATGCGTATGGGCTTATTGCGAATCAAATCAAAATTCATTGTATCCAAAGCACGCTCAGCTAAGAAAGAAGAAATAAAGACCAACAATTTTAAAATACTTATTTACATTTAATTAACAGAGAAGAAAGAAAACTACTTTTGTTTACAGGCAAATTGTAGCCAGTGTTGTGCGTTAATTTAAATCCTAAATTATGATACTTAGTATAAACAATTTATTATGCATTTTTGTATATTTCGTAAGCATTTCTCCGGTAGCTTTAAATCTTATGCAGCTTCAAAAGAGGAAGATTTTTGATCAACCCTCTTATACAATTTACCTTAAGTTAGTTTGACATTTTATAATTAATTATAAACTACTTCCAATTGCAATCTGTAACGCTTCAATTTTTGTAAATGATAACTGTAGACTCATTGACATGGTAAGTTGCGGTGTTTATTCTTGCAACTTTGAATCTTAGTCAGCTCAAAATATAAGACTTTTGACCAACCAATGGGTAGAAGTTGCCACATTTCCCTTATTCTTAAAAATTTACTAAATTGTAACGCTTCTACTTCTGTAAATAAGAATCGGTGCCTCATCTACACGGTAAGTCACGTATTATTCTTGCAACTTTGAATCTTAGTCAGCTCAAAATATAAGACTTTTGACCAACCAATGGGTAGAAGTTGCCACATTTAACTTATTCTCACAAATTTACTAAATTGTAACGCTTCTACTTCTGTAAATAAGAATCTGTGCCTCATCTACACGGTAAGTCACGTATTATTCTTGCAACTTTGAATCTTAGTCAGCTCAAAATATAAGACTTTTGACCAACCAATGGGTAGAAGTTGCCACATTTAACTTATTCTCAAAAATTTACTAAATTGTAACGCTTCTACTTCTGTAAATAAGAATCTGTGCCTCATCTACACGGTAAGTCACGTATTATTCTTGCAACTTTGAATCTTAGTCAGCTCAAAATATAAGACTTTTGACCAACCAATGGGTAGAAGTTGCTTGTATCACACTAACCTTAAAAACAAAAACAAAAAAAATATTGAAGAAAGAAAAACTTCCAAAAGCATATCCAAATCATAACAGACAGAGTTCAGTAAACTCAGCGGAATGTGACGATACGACTACGCTTTCACACACCACGGACAGTGGTGCTTGCCTTAATTCAATAAAAGCCAAAATGTAAACGACCTTTCGGTCGTAAACAACAACAAAAGCTGAGTGAAGCGCAGTTTTGTAGTTGCTGCGGTGAAAGTTTAAGTTTGTTTTCGTTTGTAAAAACAAAAGAGAGAAACATCGTTTAATGTTGTGTCGGATCTGATGGACTTAGGCATGCCAAGAATTTACACGTGTTAATGAATGAGCGGCACTTGAACGCACAGGCATTATGGCAACTGGCCTTGCATTTTACATAAAAAGTGAAAGCAAAACGAAAAATCATTTCACTCAGAGTGTTGACAGAGTGGAAGACGAAAATTTGCCAACGCGACACTCGAAAATAGATATCAAAACGTGCAAATATTTGCTAATCGAATATAACCTATAAATAAAGAGAAAAAAAATCTCCAGCGAGTTTAATTTTAAAAGGCGCGAGTATAAACAATAAACACATGTTTATGACACATACACGCATACTCTCACATATACAGTTGCGTTCACGTCTGTGAGAGCGGCACTTGGAAACAATGGTTGCAGGCAAAACTAAACTGACGCCATGGCGAGTCATTGGGCTAGAGGGGCGCGGCGTGTGCGATAAGCCATTGTTGAAATTAAATATTATAGCATCACAATTGCATTTTTGTATAGAAACTTCCAGTTGTTTGATGATGACTAGCAACAACCAGCTGTTTTTCCTTCTCCTTTTAGTTCTCTCTTTCACTTTCAGAAACAAAAACTGGAATTTTAATGCTCACACACACACACACACGCACGAAAGCCAGCGAGTGCTCCAATCGTGTCTGTGTGCGTGCAAAAAACTGCACACGTGTTTTCTTTACTGGTGTCACTGTGGGAGCTCCTAGTTAATAATGTATGTATGAATGTATGGGTGTACACATTGTAAATTTTACAATTACATTATTATGGAAATATTACTCACCATCGGCTGGCTGCTGGAAATTGACGTAGGCATAGCCCAATGAGCGACGGGTAACAACGTCGCGGCAGACACGAATGGACAGAACTGGGCCAGCAGTGGAGAACTTCTCAAATAGTCCCGCTTCGTTAATGTCCTGGTGTAAATCACCCACGTATAAAGAAGCCATTTTTGGTGATTAGGTCCTCCTGCGAAAAATAAACGTATATGTCGATATGCAAAGCTTCGCCCTGTCTCTTAGACAGGCAAACAAAAAAATTGCAAAAATAAATTGACAAAAAAAAAAAAAGCGGCGTGGTTTTTGCTTTCAGAATGTTTGCTGCATGTGTGCGTGTCTCTGGCAATACTGACGCATGTGACAGTTGAACGGCGGTCGATTGGTCGACATGGCAACACTGCGCGGCATAGGCATGTGCTTTGTTGTTGCTGTGTTTCCCTCTTTCACACACCAATACGAACATCCAGAACGCATGTTGGAAAATTTCCACATGCGCGCACACATACACACGTAAACGGTTTGGCCCGCACTACAATCATTAATTTACTTTAATTTGTATACTAAATCCTTAGTAACATAAGTACAGAATTTAACATGCAAGTCAGACAATGGGCTGGGTCTTTGTTCGTTTTCTTTTCAATTTACTGCGCTCTTTTTGAACGACAGCAGCTTACGTCGCCATCTTGCGTGGCACACGAATCACATTTCACAAGAAAATTTCGAATTTGCTTCGTATCGTCGTTTTGTATTTGCAATCGTACTTACGTTTTCAGCACTTGCTCGAATTTTTTGCTACTTTTTACAATTTTTTTGGTTGCTTTTTATATTTTTAATTTTTTTTTTTATTTTTTTAAGATTTTTTTTCTTCACAAAAAATATGTGATAAGTCGTGTGCTAAGCGAAACCACGACCGCTCACTTAAACGGACTCTACTCGACTCGCCGATTATAACACTCGCCTACTCGACGAGGGAAGAAAATAACTCGCTACATTTTGCTCTCGCTAATGTAACATGAGTTTTGCTCGCTACTTCTTGTCCTTATCTAACACTGTTTTCGTGTTTGCCAACACTAATTTTACGATATTTACGTCAAACTTGCCTATATTCATGTTACCCGCAATGAAAGATTTTAAAATATGGTCAGTATCAAAAATGTTTTTTAATTCTGAAGTCTTCAATGTTGGCAACCCACCGAACATTTTAGCCAAATGCAAAATTTATGTTACCAATAATATAGAATTTGTAAGCATTTAATTAAGGCGTACCAAATTAAAATATATATATGTATATATATATTTGTATACCTTAATATTATCACTAACCAAACGGCATATGCTGAAGCCTTTTTCCACTCCAAAGCCTTTTTATGCCCCCTTTTCAAACTTTCAAACATAGATATTTCTGGCAGATTGCATGGAATTTTCCAGAAATTTGTAAATGTCTGTGTGCGCATTTCTGGTTTTTCCCCTGATTAAACTTACCGGTGTCGGTGGGGGGTGCAGCAAGAGTTTCGCAACGCGACGTGCTTTATGCGCGGATTCACAAGTAGACAACGTTTGTTGTTTAAATGCACTCGATTAGTTAAATTTTTTTGGTTTTTTGTATTTTATACGAAATAAACAACACTCAATTAATCCAAACAAATGACTGCATCTAACCAATTGTTTAATATTTTTTTGAGTTTTTTTTCGGCTAATAAACCTATTTTTTAATTTCTTAGTGTGTCTCCTAATGAGGTGGCAGGAAGACTGACAACGAGCTAAACAAAAATGTCAACATTTTTCAATGCCTGCATCGCCTACTTGATGTTATCAAACTTTTGGAAAGGCATTTGCACAGTCGGTATTCGTTGAGCTTTCGGGTGAGTCATCTTCGTGTGTATAGGGTTTATTTTCCTATTGAAAATTGATACAGCAGTTTCTCGCTTTTATTCCATTTCCTGCTAAGAGTATACAAAGATATAAACACACATGGCTAGTTATATCAATGCACTTATGTATAAACATTTATTTAAAAGTTTATTGTACACATATAGAATAATGCTTTAAATGTTTTTGTTTACTTTTGTAATGCAATTGCTAATGCTAATGCATGAGATTTTGTTTTTTTTTTTTGCGTTCAACTCGATTTTGATTTCGTGTGGATTTTCATAATACTAATATTTAATTGTATTTATCCATTATTGAATTATGTCTAATCTATGGGTAAATTTAATTAGCCCTAATTTGTATTTTTCTTTTGCTTTACCTCGATCTTTTAATGCGTAGTATACCTCAAATATATTTTGTATGCATAACATGATTTGTAATTTGTATGTTTAAGTTTATGTATTAAGTTCAAGTACAGTACATATATTTTTCAAAAATATATATAGTTATATGTATGAATGTAGTAATAGCTATAAAGTAGTTGGAACTGAAACTTAATTCTATACAGCAAACTGCTTTCAATTCTGGCGATTAAATGTATTTATTGATATATTTCAATACGTTTCCCCATATTAAGCAATAAATTTAAACAATAGCTTCAGTTTAATGTTGTAATACTTTCAAGTGCCAAATCGATTTACAAAGAAAATGATGTTTCAGTTACATTTTACCTATTTCAACAAGAAACTGCCATTGCACAATTAAAACCTGTATTCAGTTGCGTACTTTTTTTTTTTTTTAATGCCAAAAACATTTCGTACTAAACATTTTTCCTATTTTGGCAGTGGCGTTTTTAAAGATTAACAAAACAAAAATTGGGCCCAAAAACCTGGCAGAAAACTTTCGGCTTAAACAATAAATGAGAAAATACCATAAAATGAAAGTAATAAGTAATCAGTAAACGCATCATGTGCCAAAGTCTCAGTTTCCACTTGGAGTTCCGCTTGTAACAGCAACAGCAGCATCGCTACCCCACTCCACCAAATACTGCACCTGTCCATTGCCCATGCGCCGTTTGGCGCGTATGGCAAAGGATTCGCCGGCATCGATGCGATTCATGGCGCCACCAAAGTATCTGTTCACCGATTGCTTTAGGTCAAGCATTGAATTTCCATTGGCTGGCGCACCGCCGCTGCTGGTGCTGCTGCTGCCATTGGTTACCGTGGAGCTTGTGGAGTTGCGCCGACTGTTCGTTGGCGTGCCGCAGCGCGACTTTTGAGGTCGCTGGCGCAGCAAACGACCATGGGTTGGCTTCTCTGGCGGCAGCAGCGGGGCCGGCGGCTGCAAATCTTTGGCATAAATGGGAAAGTAGTGGCTGGGTATAGGATTGATTGTTGTAGTGTTGATCACCTATGTAAATAAAACATATGGATCGGAATATCAATAATCTATAACCAAAAATTGAACAACAGCTAACTCACCTCAATGGCCGTGGTCAGGCGTCGAGTGCGTCTTCTGCGCACCTCCTGATTGGGCCCAATGGTAATATCTTTGGCACTCAGTCTTCGCTTTATGGTGCGCACCATGCGCGGCTGGTTCGCGGCCGCCGTTGCCTTGGCCAGCTCAATGCTGCTCAACTGCTTTACGCTCTTAAGCTTGAAAATGCTATTGATGATGCCGGCAACTCCAGCTGCGCCGGCGCCAACGCTTCCATTGCGCTGTTGTGCTGATTTTTTGGGTGTGGCCATCAAGAAGGGATTGTTGCGACCGAGAAAATTGGCCGGCGGCGGTATGATGAGATCCAGCGAGCTGGTGCCACGGCTGCTGCTCGAATTCTCATCTGAAGAGAGATCACAGTTGCGGCTGTTGTCGTAGCGTTTCGACAAACGGAATGCCTTGCGTTTGCGGCTGTTGCTGTTGCCGTTGACGGTTACATCGAGCTGAGGTGGTACGGGTGCCAACAATTTGCCAGGTTCACCATCGTTGGCATTGTCATCGGCCAAATCAGGCGTGCGTTTCTGGGCGTTGCTTATCTGCTGGCATTTTTGAAAAATTTAATAGTAACTTTTCTAAAAACAAATGGATTTTTTTTTAAATCTACCTGCTGATCTTCGTTTGTTATCGCAGGCTGCTGCTTGTTTTGTTTTTTGGCCTTCTCCATAATCTGCTTGATGGGTATTTCATCTTCGCTGGTATCGGCTTCAGCCTCTGCCTCGGCCGCCTCCTCCTCGTCCTCATCCGTATGAAACTCGTACACATCCTTGGTAGCCACAGTTTTGGTCGCTTCCTCTTCAAGTGTCTTCGGCTCCAGCTCCTGTTCTTCTTCTGGCATCAGCAGCAATTTAAACTTGTTCACTAACAGCTCATCGCAGAGCACCTCCTCCGGTTGCAGGAACACGCGCGGTGTCAGTGGTGGTCCACTGTGACGCAACGCGTAGTAAGCCGGCGCACGCTTAAATTCACGTCCACAGACGAAACGATCCGAATACTCTTTAAGCGTTTGCTTTATACGCTCCATGAGTGCCGTCTCAGGCAACTGGCGCCACTCCTCGCAAATGGGCAACTGATGGCGCTGCTCCAGTATAAACGGCCAAATATCCTTCAACAAGTGATGATACTTCTGATGCTGATGCTTGCGCAAATTGTAAAGCGTTATGTGCAGCATGTCCACCCAATCAATTTGCAGGCGACGCACAAACTCAACACCATCGTTGCACACAGTGCAGCAGAACACAAAGAAGCTGTGACAATGAAATTCGTATAAATTGGTTTAGTTTGACTCTTCATGATGCATTTAAAATTTTGTATGTGTACATAGGTTAGAATCTGTAAGGGACAAATTTTCTGAACTTTGAACTTTCCTCTACGCTTTGCAACACGCTCTTTCTCTTCTATCAAGTCAAAAAAGTTGGGGACGTGCTCGCAAAAGCCGGGTCAGATCCCCCCTAAAGAGCCAAGTGCCTATTCTGTGGGTCTTCGCGAAATCCATGGTATCATCTTATTTTCAGACGAAGTTCGGAAACCTCTGTCCCTCTAGCAGAAGACTCCGAGAAGCTGAGATTGCTGATCCTCACCCTACATAACAGGAATTTTCCTAAGATATGACTATACGACAAATCAACTATGCACATTCACTATGAACGTCTAGCCTTGATAGAAGAAAAAGCATCTGGGCATTTCCTCCTCGGCTCAGATCAGGACTTCTTACGCTCTTTCATAGCTTAGGTCGAGCAACTATTGTTCACTTAGGAAAAGGCAGTCATAAAATAATATAAAAACTATTTTAGCGGTCTTGACAGACAAGTTTCTTTTACAAAGAATACTGTGAAATATAATATATCATTATTTTTTTGTTATTTGGACTAACAAAAGGTTTGGATGCATATGGGAAATTGGTATGACACACTTACATGTCGCCGCGCAGCAGCTTGCGCTTAAAGTTCTGCATGCATTGGGTGTGAAACCAGTTCCTGCACTTACAGCATTGGAGCATGTTGTGATCGAATTTGCCAGGTTTGCCGCAATAGCAATATATTTGCTCTTCATTCACGCGATGCTTTTCATCCCAGCTGAGCTTGTCCGCCTTTTGAACAATAGATAATAAATAATAATTATATATAGCTTGTGTATAACATGACGGCACCTACATGATAGGGTAGCTGACGGCAAATGCCTGGCGGTTTGTTGGCCTCAAGTGCTGGCTGCATTTTCATGGGCTTTGCGCAACGCTTGCAGCACCAAATACCGCTGGCGATTTCTGTGGTGCAGCCACGATGATAGCCACGGCCGCAACGCTCGCAAATTTCAACAATATCCTCGTGTTGTGCACGCTTACAGGCCACGCACATGGGTCCGCTTTGGCTGGTAGCGGCACCCGTACTAGGCTCGTTGCCCAATTTGCGCAGCTTCTCCAGCTCGCACCATTGCTCCGACTTGTCGTCGAAACGCACCAGATACTGTTCTTCGGAGTGTGCAATTATGGTGCCCAAATAGAAGCGTCCATCGTTGCATTTAATGAACACGTCCTCTTGCAGCGCATAGCTAATCGGAGCAGGACTGGGTGCTGCCGGCGGCGGTGTGGGGGGTGTGAGTGGTGCTGCTGCAGCCACTGAAACTTCAGCTACTTCCTCAATGCTCTGCGTGACTGTAGTGAAGCTCTGCTTCAGCTGTGTCGTTGGCAAGAGCACGCAGCTACTGTTGCTGCCCGGCGACTTAATAGGCGAGCTCAAAGTTTCTGGCGTTGTGGGCGGCGTATGCGGGGTTGTTGTTGTGGAGTCCGGCTCGTCTATCACTATAACAGCGGCTGTAGCGGCGCTGCTGCTGCTGCGGCCATTCGAGCAGCTGCTGCTGCTACTGCAACTGCTGTCAGCTGTGCTGCTATCGATAAGTGGCAGCAGCGCCTTATGCTGTATAGCGGGTATGATGGGCGAGGGCTGGCATAAATTTGGTTCTGTATAGTGATTGTTGATGCATATGTTAATGCGATCCAGCACCACCGTAGAAGAGGGTGCGCCGTTGCTCGGCACACTTCCAATCGCAACGTTATTGCTGTTGCTGCTCACCGGCACCAGCGGCGGTGGCTGCAGTTTGGGCTGCAGATTTGGCGTTGCTGCATAGTAGGCACCAACTGGCGCATATAGTTCTGTTGCAGGAGTTACGGCTGTGGTTGATGTGGGCGTGGCATACAGCTGATTTAACTGGTCAGCCGTTTTATTTAAACTATACACATTGGGTGCTGTGCTTATAATGCGTATATTGTTTATGTTATTGGCCTTAAAGGGACTCGACTGCGGCGGTTGCGTTTGCTGGTGCTGCTGCTGTGTATAGTTGTTGGTTATTTGAATGCTGCTGGGATGCGTTGGCGCTGCTGCTGTTGTGGTTGTGTTTGCATAATAACGCTTGGCGCCACCTATTGTTGGCGTTAGCCCACCGCCAGCATTTGTTGCGAGGGTCGGTGGAGGAGGCGGCAGTATTTGATAGGTTAGCCATTGCTGTGGATTTGTCGTCGCGGCTGCTGGCTGTGTTAAATAACTGTATGTTGTTGGTGCTGCGACAGCGCCAGCAAATTGCGGCGCAACATTTGGAGGCGCGTTGCTGTGGTCGTGTGGTTGCAAGTGAAAATGGTTGTTCATCATTTGAATTAATTTATTGTGCAGTTGCTTTGTGCGCAGTCTTTTCTGTATAATCCAAACGAAACAAAAAAAAAAACAATCTGTGGTTAATTCTTGATTTATACGACTTTTTTGCCTGTCCGGCAACAACAAACTGGCGCCTTTTTCGAGCAATTTGTTGCTGCTCACACTTACACGCACACTCACATATACATAACATACAGAAAAAGAGAGCACTGAAAACCGTTTGCGGGCCCTTTTGTATTCTACTTCTTACCTACATTTTTTCTCACGCAGTCGTGCACGACTAGCCGCAATTTTAAACCTGCATTTACATACCTTTTTAATGTGTTTCAACACATGTATTAAATTAGTATAGCATTAAATTATATTCGTTATTTAGATTTAAGTAATTTTGTGCATATTTTAGCATTAAATCAAGCAAAATACACTAAAACAATCACTTGATTCGGCAATTAAAAGTGTCAGCCATTTTTCAGCATATGCACAGTGTTAAAGAATGACCTGTGTTAACTGAACAGTGTTGGACAGCGTACATGAATACAGGCCCTTTGAATTTTTCGCTTATGTGAATTAAAATAAATACTACAATTAACATATATACAATACAACATCAGACAAATACAAAACAAAACCCTCTTGTTTCTTGCCAAATTGGTTTTAAATTCAAATACAAGTATTATTGTATCGCGGTAGAATATACCAGCGAGTACTCGATACTTTTAAAACTATATAAATAGCTGCAGCGTTGTCTCCGATAGGTTTTTCAGCAGTTAGCATCGAGACCGATAGCGATAGACAGTACGGACGAAGAAGAAAAAGTATTTTATTCGTGAAATTCAACAATTACGCTGTGCATTAAATTCATAAAAAAAATATATAAAATATAAAGTTGGGCAAAGTGATTGTAAGATTCAAGAAGTACAAAGTGTAAATCAAGTGAATAACATTGTCTTTTTGATTTTAAAACAATTTATAATCAAGAAAAAAAAGCTGTAAAGTGTTGCGGTAGGTACCATACACACATACATACATACATGTTGAAATATATGGTGACGACTGGATGTGGACTGTGCCCATAGTGAAAATTTATATTCATTCATACAAGTTTTCTTTCTTCTAACGATTTGTACACAGTTTTTATCGTCGCTTTATATGTCCAAAACGCGTGCAAGTTTTAAAACCGTGCAACTAAAGCACGAATCAACTGAAGAAGAGGAGGACGACGAGGATCAGCAGCAGCAGCAGCGACCACGTCGCAACATGCATACAGTTGGTGAAACGGGCAGCGGCAGCGGAGTGCCTGCCTTTTTGGCGAAACTTTGGCGGCTCGTTGACGATCCCGATACAAATAATTTAATTTGTTGGAGCAAGGTAGGCCGCCATATTGTTTATTTACATATTTTTTTTTTCTCTTGGCATGGCAACAACAACAAAACACAGGTGTTTTAAATACACTACGACTCGACTTTCACTACGTCATCATTTGTCTGCACATTCGTTGATGCGCTGTTGTTGTTTTTGTTGTTGTTCCTGCAGTGCTCAGTCGCACGTATGCAAGAGGATTGCTCTCTATTATGTTTTTGTTTTTGTTGTAGTTATTTGCATTGGCTGTGCGTGCGTACGTGCGTGCCCTCCATCCAATGCATCTCTGAAAATTTTCCATTTGCCTGCCCTCTCCGTCCGTCTGCTGCTTGTCAGTCTGTCTGTCACTATTCAATTCAATTTTGTTTTCCTGCCCTGTGTGTTGCTTATTCTGTTTTGGGCTTGCTTTCGCGAAGTGTGTGCATAGATAAGCAAGCTTTTTTTGGTAATTGCCACTTCCATATTTCACACGCTTTTTTCATGTGTGGCTTTATAATTAGATAATTCGGACCCGATATTCAAATACTTTTATTTCGGCACGCTTATCACAAATAGTGGTTAGCTCTTTATCTCAATTCAAATTGCTAGCTGGCCAAAAGCATAATTTTGTAAAACAATTAATTGGACTTATCGCATCTGGAAATGATGTAAATATATACATGCTCCAGTTAACTGCAGAATACATGCTAAAAGCTGTTTGCATTTTCCCATTATTAGGCATAGCAGATTTTTGTATGTAGATTGCGAGTCGGTATTTCCTGGGCTTGCCGGGGATAAGATTTTTCTTTAAATTTGACATGTTTTCATTTATTTGTTGACAGAGGGGAAATTAAAATGTACTAATTCTATGTTGAACCCGAATGGGCTTTGAAAGTAAGTTAGAAGTTGAAGAAGAACAACTTTATATCCTCTTGAAATCTCTGTGCTCGGTAGCATTAGTATTCCTTAATGCTGTCCCTGTGAAAACGTTATATTTATTGTGTGCTTGTGTGTTTTATTTATTATATCCTTTTAGGATGGCCGCAGTTTTATTATACAAAATCAGGCGCAATTTGCGCGTGAGCTCTTGCCACTGAACTACAAGCATAACAACATGGCCAGCTTTATACGTCAGTTGAATATGTGTAAGTAGACATATGAGTTTTAATTTATTAAGTAAGACTAACTAGCAGCTCGCTTTGCATTTTAGATGGTTTTCATAAGATCACCTCGATTGAGAATGGGGGGCTACGATTTGATCGCGATGAAATTGAGTTTTCACACCCGTGCTTTAAGCGAAATTATCCCTATCTACTTGATCACATCAAGCGCAAAATATCTAATACAAAGAACGTGGATGAGAAGACCGCGCTAAAGCAGGAGACTGTATCCAAGGTGCTGAGCGATGTCAAGGCTATGCGCGGCCGTCAAGACAATTTGGACTCGCGCTTTTCGGTGATGAAGCAGGAAAACGAGGCTCTGTGGCGCGAAATAGCCTCACTGCGCCAGAAGCACGCCAAACAGCAACAGATAGTCAACAAGTTGATACAATTTCTAATCTCGATAGTGCAGCCATCGCGTAACATGTCTGGCGTCAAACGTCACATGCAACTGATGATCAACGATACACCGGAAAATGCCCGTAAGCGTAATGCCAGTGAATCGGAAAGCGAAGGCGGCCCTGTCATACATGAGCTTAGCGAGGAGCTACTTGACGAGGTAATGAACCCAAACAGCCCATATGCTAAGCAGTATGATGCAGAGAGCGTCTCACCGCTGGCTATGGAGCGACCACGTTCCAATACAAGCATCACAAGTTCTCAAAATTACGACTACTCGAATCAGAGCGCCGAGGATTTTATTAATGCTCAGCTATTGAATAGCGGAGATTCTGCAACAAACGCTGCCCGTTCGCCTGGTGGCCAGCAAGTGCTATACACCGTCACAGAAGCACCCGATTCGCATGTACAGGAGCAAAACCTGCAGCTCAGTCCCAACAGTCTTTACAACAGCGATGAGCAGCTGAATGTGCTTACCACCCCCATGGTGCGCGAGCAGGAGGCACGCAAGCGTCAACAGCTTAAGGAGAAAAACAAACAGCGTCGCGATACAGAAATCATTGGCCAGGTCGATTTGGATATGTCCCCGAAAGCTTCGCGCGCACGCTCACAGTCTAAAGAACAGCCACAGGGCAATGTCATGCCGCAGCCAGTTCTGGTGAAGACGGAGCCGGAGTTAAGCAGTGTAGCTGGAGGTAGCATGCCAACCTTGTTGGAGCAGGCTGAGTCAAACGACGGGGATCTGTACAATGTCAATTTTATAAGCAACGATATGCCAACGAATATTTTTGAAGTAAGCCACAATATACAAGAAAAATACAAGAATGTGTTTAACGGTAATTGTTGTGCCTTACAGGATGACTCGTTGATGTCTAGTGCTGGCATGGATGAGCAAGCCGCCAAGCTGGATCAACAGCAGCAGTTCGGACTCACCACTGTGAACACCGGAAAGTTTGCAAATGCGCCGATCAGCTTTGATTTGTCCAATAGTAACAATGAGAATCCTTTGGTGACCGACGCGAATTTGGCATCTACTTCAAAAGCGGCTGCTGGGGTGCAGGATATCAATGATGAACAACAACAACAACAGAAACAGCAGCAGCAGCAGCAACAACAACAGCAGCAGCAACAACCGATGACCGTGGCCAAGTACACAGGAGATAATGGACCCGACTCACGGTTGAGTGGCGTGTCAGTAACTGAGCCCAAACCGCTTGGTTGCGAATTGGTAGCCAATACTAACAAATACCCTTCCAATTGTTGTTGTTGTTGCAGTGATGAGGTAACCGGTCACTTGGATAATATGCAAGATGAGCTAGACACACTCAAGGATCTGCTGCGCGGCGAAGGCGTTTCCATTGATCAGAACATGCTTATGGGCGTAAGTATCAAGCCAATTGAAGTGGTTATAGTTACTAATACTCTGTTATTATGCTGTCCGTGTGTCCGTTTAAGCAATCAGTTCATAACATATTTATACGTATATTCTATTCTATGTGCACGTTCAGGCTGCGCCAAAGGGCGTTGCTGCCAGGATGCCCGTTTTGCAGCTGACCGACGAGGAACTACTACAGAAGGTCAGCGCGGTGCGTCTATATATGTAGTTTTGATATGCCCGTGCTTTGAATTAAATGATATAGAAAAAAGCTCGTTAAGGAACATGTGTTACTAAATTGTATTTAATATTTCTGATTACAGCTCTTTAATGATTCTGACGTGTTGGATAATTATGGTCTGTCCTTTTTGAATGATAGCATGGGCGGCGATAAGAAAGGTGTGTAAGCAGTCCGCTTTGTATAAAGTTTCGTTATATTTACGTTGTTGCACAAATTACAGCGAGCAGCGGCTCCGAGCTAATGGCCTATCAGCCCAATATGTATGATCTCTCTGACATTTTGGACACAGACGATAATAACAAGCCAGGCCAAGATGCAGCCAACGGTCGCCAAATGCAGGCACAAAATTCCGTGCTAAATACGCCGCGACATGATATGTAGATAACCGTAGATAATACATAAAAGTAATAGCAGCAGCTCAAACACAAAAGGGGCGAACAAAGTTTATAACAATTTTTTAATAACACACATACAGTTATACATATATATGATTTAATGTATAGTTCAGAGACAGTCGTTTAATATTTGTTTCATATAACACCCATCATACTGTTGAGCTTTTTCTAATAGTTTTTAATTGTTTTTCTCTTTGAAAAGAAACTAACACAACTATTTATTAATCCTATTGATGTATGCCTTACGCACTATATATAAAATATATAGAACATATAATATTTTCTGTATACATTTTTATTTTTATTTTTCGTAAAATTTAAAAAATTATAGCTGTAATACGATATCGAAAGACTATTAGTGCAGTGTATGTAGATTTTATATTGAACAAAATGAAAAATTGATTTCAATTTTATCGAATTGATACAAACATATAAATATATGTATATTTATATATATACACGAAATATTTGGGGATATGCATGTAATAGCAGTTATAACGAACGTAGTTTATAGGTTCAAACGAAAACGTTAGTAATTAACACGTTTTGACAACAAGATATATACTATAGATACCTTAAATACAACTATTACTTATACGCAATAAATATTCATTTCGAAAGCGTTTGGGCTGCAAACAATAAAAAAAAAAACTACTTTTATTTGTTTTTCTCTAGAATACTAAGGGATACAATTAATGTATCAGCATGCAGTAGTATTTGAACGTTGACATTCTAGTTCGGATTTTGGTTACACGTCTATATTTAAGATCTTGCCGATGCCAAGCTCATTTTAAGCAGAATGAAGCATCGACTCTGAAGCTTTATTAATCTGAAACAGTTTTTGTAGAGCAAATTTATATCATATACAAAAAATGCGGTTTGCTTGTAATAATTTCTGAATGTGTGTATAATTTATTTTATCTTGTTGATACAACTGAATAGATATGGACACATACAACAGTACTGTAATAAAAAAAACTAAATTATGTAGAAAGCTTAATCTAAATAGCGTCTTAGAAAATGCTACATATTTTGCATATAATGTAAAAATAATACATTTAATGTGACTTAGAATTGTTCGTATGCGTAAATACCCAGAGAAAGAGACAGGATTTAAGTAAGATTAGGCCTCGTCCTTGTACTTAGCATCCTTCAGAATGTTGGCAAACTCGAATTTGACGCGTTCGCGCTCCGATCTGGGCATGCTTCGCAGTGTGTCCACTAGCGATAGGCAGTATAGCTCAATCGGATCATTAATGGGCGCCAATCTGGGTAGGGGAGCAGCCATAGCCTTTCGTTTGGCCGCATTAGCCATGATGCCGGGTGCACTGCGTCGCGAAAGCGCTGCTTTATAAATGGGCTCGATTGTCACCTCGCCGTTGGAGAGCGCAGTGTTGTTTCTGTATTGCTGTTCGGTTTTAAGGTCCTGATTGTGGTATTGCGGTTGCGCTTTTATTTCCTGATGTGCCAGCTCATCGCCGTTGCCCATTACCACCATGGGCATAAGCAGCGGTGAGGAGGCCGGTGAGCTAGCCTGCGTATTGTTGTGGTTGCTGCTGCTGCCGTTGCCATTGACAGCGGATGACTGTTGCAAGGTGACATCGGGCTTGGGCTCCATGACCATCAGCTCAGGCACGATTTCATTATCACTGTGACCACCCACTTGCGTCGAGCCGTCCTCACTATTTTCATCATCCAGCTCAATAATATCATAGTTATCCGTTAGATTGACGCGCAAGTGCTCCGGATCTGGGTACAGAAAACTGTTGCTGTCGTTGTCGCTGCTGCCACCGTTATTTGTATTATTGTTCTGGACTATGTAGGATTGTGCCTTTCTCACATTGTACGTTTGTGCGGTGTTTTGTAAAAATGATAAATCCTCGGTGAAGCGTCGCTTGCGCACATTCGGATTTACCTGTCCTGTTTCCAGTGCCTTAATCTCTTGTAGATAATTGTACCGTATGTTCTTCCATTTTGTTTGCAGAAATCGTGCTATAAAAGTGAAAGAGGGGATGATTAATATACAAGATTTCACAACTAAAGCTGGGGATGTTGATATTCCGAATATATATTGTATCAAAATATCGTCAAATTGGAATCTCAAACAATATACCAATTAAATATTATATATCAACATATATCAACATCCTCGAGCTCTGATAATTGTTTAGTTCTCCACTTACATGACGCCCCAAGTTCGTTCGCGATGCGATCCCATATGCCTACTCTAACGGGATTACGGCGATAGTGCGGATGACTAACATCGTAGATGGCAGGATTGGCGCGCACCAATTTTATCAGGCGATCGTCTATGGGTTTTGAAAAATCGTTAATATCTGTGTCGCAGTACATTTTGCTTTCTACGTTCTTCGCAGCAGAAGCAACAACAACAACAACAACAGCAGCGGTAACAGCAGAAGCAACCCTTAGCCCGTCTTCTCTAATAGGGGAAGACTGTTGTGTGTGCTGTTGTTGCTGGGGGTTGATTCTGCACTTTTCAATTGTGTATTGTGGTTACCAAAAAAGTACTCTATTACCGAACTCGGGTCCTGTAGTCTCACGTTCCGCATAATATCGCTGCATGTTTTTCGTGCGCCTTTTTGTTGCTATTTTGGCAGTTTGAGTAGCCACGAGAGATATCAATTTGTATTTGTTTACGTTTGAAGCAGCAGCAGTTTGGCCTATGCTGAATTAAGCTGTTAATAACAGCGCACGTTCTTTGCATTGATTGATACTCTCAATTGCGCAGTGATATCAATGGCTGCATTTATTATTAAAATAGTAATTGTAAAAACACCGTTGCGTGCGCGATGTCTTCTGTTTCTCTGTTTTTCCAGTTTTGTTTTACGCGCTCTGCGCACGCTCACTAGAGCATGGTGCTGCCAACTTTTTATGGCTTCCCAAGCTGCCAACGTAATCCTAAATGTGCAGTATTTAAATACTTTTCTTGGTATATTTTTATTGGCAAATTCTTATATATATACATATGAATGTATATATCATTTTATTATTAAGCTAACGACAAAACCACATAATATCGCAAGATTTTGCGACTTTTTCTAATTTATTTTCGCAGCACTAGCTTAACCTTAATATTATTTTTAACACATAGGGTAATGCCACTATGAAGAATAAATTCATCTGGATCGGTAATGGGCAAAATCTTAAACCGCTTCAAAATATATATCACTAGCGTTTTTATTTCCATCATTGCGTACTTTTGACCTAAAATTACAGAGCATAGAAATTCAATAAAAGTTTAATATACTTCAAAATTTAAAAAAAAATGATCTTACCAATACAATTTCGCTGACCCGCACTAAATGGTATATATGCATAAGTATGCCTTTTCATGGAGTTCTCCGGCAGGAAACGATCAGGATCAAACTCTTCCGGTGAATCCCAGTATTTGGGATTGCGATGTATGTCAAAAATGTGCATGGATATTTGTGTACCCGCAGGCAAGATGAGTCCGTTCGGCAGTTCTGTTTCGTTTAAAGTCTGACGACTCATTATCGGAACAGGAGGAAACATGCGTATTGTTTCCTTTACGAAGCGGTCTAAATACTTCAGATTGGACAGCTGTGTAATGTCCAAATCGCTTGGATCATCTATGTACTCCGCTATCTCTTGATAGCATAGTTCCTGCATATCCTCGTACAAGGACAAATTCAAAAGGGTGAAGATCAGACTCATAGACGTTGTATCGAAGCCTCCAAACATAAGAGTGTCGACCTCCTCGCAGATGCCATCATGATCGATCAGACCATCCTTCTCCGCACATATAAGAGTGTCCAGCATGGCAAAGCGCCGTTTCTTGTTGATGTATCTAGACAAGGGAAAGAGAATATACGGCTTGTTGATAGCTTATAGGATTTGGGTGAACGTACATGTCATCGTCTGGCGATTGATTCTTACGTCTTTCGTCTAGCTCCGCCTTTAAGAGAACTCGACGCTTGGCAATAATATCGCTAGAGAATTCATGAACCATCTTCAGAAAAGGCGCATCCTCGCTGGCAGCAAGAAGCTTGTACATTGTATTATTATAGTAAAGTGGATTGCTAATACGTTTTACAAAACATTTCTCGATCATTTTTATGCTCTCACGATAACGATCGCCTTTCTCTGTCAGCTCATCCAGATTTATGCCCATTGCGGTCTCTGTAGATCAGTTAATTTAACTTTTTTAGAAGAAATGTAAGAGAATCGAACTTACCGCAAATGCTGTTGAGCGTAAATCTGGGAATATGTTCACTTATTGAGATAACGCTCTCCTCTTGATTCTCGAATCGCCTCACAAACTTTTGGCTTTCCGCTCTTTAAAGAGTTACACGTTCAATTTCTGCTGGTGGAATATTAATGCATATAAACTTACTTGAAGATTTCCATAAATTGACCCAGTATATTGAAATGGAATGTGGGGGTTATCATCTTACGTCGTGTATGCCACTTTTTACCTACAAATAAATATATACAAACTTCAAGATAACGCACAGCATGCAATCAAATATCCCATGGGGTCACCTGTCGAGGTCAACAGTCCAGTGCGCAGGGCCGGCTGCATGAAGTCGTATATTGCGCCCTTGGTTATGAGACTCGCATTGTTTAATACAAATTCAGCATTGACAGGATCGATGATGCTATAGATGGGTGTGCCCAAGGAATATATCAAATAGCTGCTGCCCATCTCCCTAGCCAACCGGCGGGAATACTGAAAAACGCCCGCTGTAGAAAATCACAAAATTAAGTTGAGCACGACAATATTCGATTCTAGACATTTTGCGCACCATCATCTTTGCCAAATAAATCGAAACAGTTTGCAAAGATTGTTCGACCCTTCGGTACAGACACAATGCTCTCCAGGGATTGGCCATGCTTGGCGCGCACTCGTCGCGCAAAGAAGGCCAGGATGTAATACTCCTCATTGATCTTATACAGCCAGTAGAGCAGAACGCACGCAGCGATGATCACGATACTAGCACAGACCATTTTAAACACATTAAAAGAGCGAACTAAACTCGTCTGCGTTCAGAGCGCGACTAGTGTGGATGCGGTTAAATTGTTTATTATTATACCACAGAAGATACGGTTGTTGTTTGCGCCGTGTTTGTTGTTTATAGCATATGAGAGCGCGTCCGCTCTTATACTTTTGACCATTAAGTCTTATATTGATTAATTCTGCTCGATCAGCATTACAAGGCATTTTTTTTTTAGCATAGGTATTAATGAGCTGTTGATAACTGTGTATTTTATACAGTTAAAGAAAGTGTGAAATATACTAAAAATAATAACATTACATGCCTTTTTAAAGTTTTCAGCCTTCACTTAAGCAAATAATTAAGGTATTTTTTTTAGTATATATCAACAACAACAAGTGTACGTATATAAATGATACAAAAAATAATCCAAAATACAAATGGGAGATTTAACGGCAAGATATTTTTCCTAGTTTTCATAAAAATGCAGATCATTGAAGCTTTCGTCAAGTTTTCGATTTGGATTAATGTATTAAAATAACGGTTTTTTCTAACGGCTTACTTTGGCGCCAAGTTTAAACAGTTTGGCTGTTCCATCAACTAAGGCAGAGTTAAAGAAATCAAACTTAAATCTTAATCAGCTTCAGCAACTATTATTTAAAGAAAATTTAAGCCGAATAGTTTTTTTTACTTAAGTTGATCTACTTTAATTTATTTTCGCAGAACTAACTTCACCTTAATATTATTTTTTACACATAGCGTTATCCCATTGAAAAGGACAAGTTCCTTTGGATCGGTAATGGGCAAAATCTTAAACCGCTTCAAAATAAAGATCAGCAGCGTTTTTGTTTCCAACATTGCGTACTTTTGACCTAAAATTGCAAATCAATTTGTCAGATCCAATAGTTTACCAATTCCAAAAATTGTCCTAACCTTCTTACCTATACAATTTCGCTGACCCGCACTAAATGGTATATACGCATAAGTTTGCCTTTTCATGGAGTTCTCCGGCAGGAAACGATCAGGATCAAACTCTTCCGGGGAATCCCAGTATTTTGGATTGCGATGTATGTCAAAAATGTGCATGATGATTTGTGTACGGGCAGGCAAGATGAGTCCGTTCGGCAATTCTGTTTCGCTTAATGTCTGACGACCAATAAAGGGAACAGGAGGAAACATGCGTATTGTTTCCTTTATGAAGCGGTCTAAATACTTCAGATTGGACAGCTGTGTAATGTCCAAATCGCTTGGATCATCTATGTACTCCGATATCTCTTGACAGCATAGTTCCTGCATATCCTCGTACAAGGACAAATTCAAAAGGGTGAAGATCAGACTCATAGACGTTGTATCGAAGCCTCCAAACATAAGAGTGTCGACCTCCTCGCAGATGCCATCATGATCGATCAGACCATCCTTCTCCGCACATATAAGAGTGTCCAGCATGGCAAAGCGCCGTTTCTTGTTGATGTATCTGGACAAAGGAAAGAGGATATGTTTGCTCGTTGATAGCTTATAGGTTTTGGGTGAACGTACATGTCATCGTCTGGCGATTGATGCTTACGTCTTTCGTCTAGCTCCGCCTTTAAGAGAACTCGACGTTTGGCAATAATATCGCTGGAGAATTCATGAACCACCTTCAGAAATGGCGCATCCTCGCTGGCAGCAAGAAGCTTGTACATTGTATTATTATGGAGCAATGGATTACATAAACGTTTTACAAAACATCTCTCGATCATTTTTATGCTCTCACGATAACGATCCCCTTTCTCTGTCAGCTCATCCAGATTTATTCCCATTGCGGTCTCTGCACAAATTTAAGATTAATTGTATTTTTAAGATTAATTGAAGTTGAGTTTGACTTACCACAAATGTTATTGAGCGTAAATCTGGGTATCAGTTCGCTTAATGAGATAATACTTTCCGGCTGACTCTCGACTAGCTTAAGAAACTTTTGGCTTTCCGCTCTTTAAGGAGTCATACGTTCAATTTCTGCTAGCGGAATATATGTTTATATAAACTTACTTGAAGATTTCCACAAATTGACCCAGTATATTGAAATGGAATGTGGGGGTTATCATTTTACGTCGCGTGTGCCACTTCTTACCTGATAAAAAAAAAACATAAATAGAAACTTCATGATTTCGATTAAAATCTCCGACTGGATTACCTGTGGAAGTCAGCATTCCATAACGCAGTGCTGGTTGAATGAAGTCATATAATGCGCCCTTGGTTATGAGACTCGCATTGTTTAATACAAATTCAGCGTTGACAGGATCGATGATGCTATAGATGGGTGCGCCCAAGGAATATATCAAATAGCTGCTGCCCATCTCCCTAGCCAACCGGCGGTGATACTGAAAAATGCCCACTATCGCACAACATTTAGTTGATCCACAATAGAATCTTCAATGTACACATGCTGCTCACCGCCGTCTTTTCCATATAGATCAAAACAGTTTGCAAAGATCGTGCGGCCCTTGGGTATGGGCGCAATGCTCTCTACGGATCGATCATCCTTGGCACGCACTCGTCGCGCGCAGAAGGATAGGATGTAATACTCCTCGTTGATCTTATACAGCCATTGCAGCAGAACGCACAGCGTGATAATAACAATAAAGGCACAGACCATTGTAAAAGATTGAAATAGCGAACTAATCTCGTCAGTTTCTAAAGATCGACTAGCGTACAAACGTAAAATTGTTTATAAAACTAGACTGGAAAGCGGAAAACAAAAGATATGGTAATAGTTTGTTTTGTTTGTTGCTTTTAACAACTCCACTCTTATATTTTGAATAACCAGAATAATAAACAAGAATTTTGCATGTTGAGCATTACAAAGCATTTTTATACCCTATGACCGTTAAAATGGGTAGCATAGCTATCAATGAGATTTTCACATGTATTTAAAGTAATGCTTGTAACGTATATATATATATATATATATATATATATATATATATATTCATAATCCTAACAAATCATCCAAACGGGCTGTAATATATTTAATAAACAAATCATGTTTTTTTTTTATATTTCTACAGTATTTGGTATTTTTCAAATGTTTTTGGTAATTTTATGGTTGACAGTAGTTTTTAGTATTTCCCTGCTACCTGCTTGTGGTCACACTGAAGTACCGCTGCTTAAATAACAATCAATGAGTTGTTTAAAAATCTCGCTTGATTTCGTGAAATTATGCATCATATTTAATTGTGCACACAAAACAAATTTATTTTTGGGCGGCTGGTCGTCGGTATCAGTAAGGCGAAGGCGTGCTGACGGCAATACATTAAAACGAAAACGAGCGGCTTTGTGTGCGACGTAAATTGCGCGCGTCCCGCTTAGAAGAAACGGCACGTGCTTGTTTGCAGCAAAATAGCAGCGAAATATGAACGAAGGGCGCTATGGAAGATTTGGAGCACTCATTGGCGTTGCATACGTGAGCAGCACCCACTGCCGCTTTCTGGTAAGAGACTAAAAGCCAAAAACAAAACGAGCTGCAATAATTTTCGACTTACCAATACACACACACACACAAACGCACACACACACGCTGACTCAATATCTATTTCCATAGATTTATTCAACGAAGAATGCCGAAGTGCTTGCCTATCATGAACTAAAACTGCGACAGATAGTGCACAATGCCGGCTGGCTGGAATACGATCCCGCAGAGATATGGAAACATATGCAGGAGTGCATTGAGGTGCGTGACGCAAAAGTTTTCGATTATATCATCTGAATATAACCCCCCTTCGTTACCCCTTATTTACGAATGTGTGTGTGTGTAGACTGCATACAAAAATCTAGTGATACTAGAAATCAGCCCGCATGACATCATTGCGGTGGGCATTGCCAATCAGCGCGGTACCACTGTGCTCTGGAACAAGCAGACGGGTCAAGCCTTACACAATGCCATCGGTTGGTCCGATTGTCGGAGCACCACGCTGCTCAAATCCCTGCTTCACAATGTCAAGCGAAATGTGAATTATTTGCGCTATCGCAGTGGTCTACCGCTAAGTAGCTGCTTTAGCGCTCTGAAGATCAAGTGGCTGTTGGAGCATGTGCCAGCAGTAGCCAAGGCCATAGAGCAGGAGCAGTGCCTATTTGGTACGCTGGATTCCTGGCTGATATGGGTAAGTCAACAGTAAGAAAACAAAAAAAATTGTTAAACAAAATGTTATGTTCTTATAGAACCTAACTGGTGGCGTCGATGTGGGCGTGCATTCTACGGATGTGACCAATGCGCACTATACATCGTTAATGAATGTCGCCTCTCAACAATGGGACATAAAGCTGTGCAAATTCTTTAAACTGCCTATGGGAATACTGCCACGCATTCGTTCAAATTCAGAGATTTTCGGGTACATTGTAGAGGGTCCTTTAATGGGCGTGCCCATTGCAGGCGTAATGGGCGAGCAGCCGGCTGCTTTACTGGGTCAACTGTGCGTCAAAGCGGGTCAGAATGTTTGCACACTTGATGACAGCTGCTTCGTGCTCTTGAACACAGGCCAACAGATGATCGAGTCGGAGAGTGGTCTGATAACGGGCATAGCGCACAAGTTGGGACCCACAGCAGTTACGCATTTTACGCTCGAAGGAGCCATATCCAATGCCGGTTCTACGATCAATTGGCTGCGCCAAGGACTGCGCATCAATACCGAAATCAATTCCAATGATAATGTTGTCGAATCACTAAACACATTTTTGGGTGAGAGCTCAATGATCTCATCTTCGTGCTCCTCAAGCATGCTTAATGCAGAGTGCGGGCTTGCAGCCAAGCGCTCGGAGATAACATTTGTGCCCGCCTTTCATGGCTTATATGCGCCCTACTGGCGCTATGATGCAAGAGGCATTATACTGGGTCTGACAAGTCAAACTACAGCGGAAAACATCACACAGGCTGCTTATGAGGCAACTGGTTTCCAGATCTACGAGGTCCTTCAAGCATTTAAACGAGATACGCCCAACTGGGATCCGTCTTGCATGCAGCCCGTTCTCACATTTGGCGGCGAGTATGCTGAGGACAGCCATCTGGTTCAGTTTATTGCGGACATTATTGGCTGGATGCTGGAACGGCCACAGACAACATCACCCGCTGGCATGGGTGCCATGATAGCCGCTGGCGTAACAATGCGTGTGGTTTCATTACCTTATGCGACGCGAATGTACGCGCCGCCCACTGATGTGTTCTCACCCACAACAACACAAAATCGTAAGTTGCTAAAAGTTACATTTGCTCAAAAGTTCAATTATTCACGGCAGCTATTATATCGGCTTTCGGCTTATTTTATAATCGATTCAATCACTAAGCAAAATGTCATCCTAGCTGTTTTAGCATTTTAATAATATAATTCTTTGTAGGTCGTGAACTGCTTTATCGTCGTTGGGACTATGCGGTAAAGAAGTGTCTGCATTGGAATAATTATGAGACTTACGAAGCGGATGTGGAGCTGTTTGCCCAACGTGAGCGTGATCCCAATTTACCCATACGTCGTTCCATACCGGGCAGTGTGTTTCTGACCACATCCTTTGCACTGCTGTTGTTGGCCAGTTTTTTAAAAAACAATCGCTTAACTTAGATGTAGCGTAATAAGCATGCTTTTAGGCGCTGTCGCCAGAATTCTGCGCCCAATTTTCTGAAATCTAGTCACAACAAATATGTATGTAGGTTCAAGTGCGCATCCAAAATTTATTGTTGAATTTAGCCAGTAATTTGTAATTAATTTTTCATATTTCCTTCCTTATAGTATATTTTCTACTATTTTTTTTTTGAATAATTTGTAGATCAAAAGTTTTGTGATTGGTATATACAAGCTATATACATAACTATCTATATTTATATATGCATGTGCGAATACGTATGTATATACTATACTATGTATATATATATATTATATACTCCTTGCGTAAAGCTACTTAACTTAAATTATAAATCTATAATTTCGCTCAATTTAGTTGATAATTTTAGGTTTCTATTTATTGAAATGATTTATTTTTTAAACAAAAGACAATTGTTGAAGCTGTGGATAAACAAATACAATAAGCAAAAGTAGGGTTCGCTTCGACTGTTATGCGGGATATAAAACCACAACCAAAGCATTAAAAGATTGTAAATGAGAAGCTTCTTAAGTTATTGATGGCGTGCTCCAGATGATGTTTATTTGGGTGGGCTACAGTTCTGGGCTTGCGTTAATCAACATCATGAATAATGCAAACTGAAAAACTGCCACCGGGCATGTGGCACATTGGAGCTGCATGGTGCGACGGAGCGCACGCCACTTCATTGGGGCAACAGCAGCCGTAGAGGCTGGAGTAGCTGCGAGTACAAGTGGACAGTGTTTGCTTACCCAACTCTGCGCGTGTTTTCAACTGCTGCTGTTGTTGAAATTCATTTGCCAGTTAATTAGCTGGCTGTAGCCAGGCAACAGCCACCAGGTACCAGCAGGCACCTGCACCTGGATGCATACAACGCCTGCCATTGGCTGCATGAAATGTACTGGCTTCAGCCATTGAATGCAACTTAAGTTATTGCGCTTATTGTTGACACGCGAATTGTTGCCAAGACAGCTCCGGGGAACAGTAGATGGAGCAGCAGCTGTGCTCATGCATACCGCCCTACAGGCAATGAGCACTTGAACGCACGCGCCAGCATCCAATCCCCAAAACTCAACCCGACCCCAACTGGAGCACTGGTTACCCAAACCGCTGACTCACAAGCTGTTGTCTTTGCTGCACGTCATCGTCCAGCCACAGGGTCGGAGCCGGAGCCGGAGTCGGAGCCGGAGCCAGAGTCGAGGCACTCTTTCAAATGAGTTTTTATGCGAGCGCTTTTGCCAGCTGCGCTACAGCGAAATGCACGGCTCGATGTGATAGAAATTAATTAATTGAAAAATGAAAATAGTTTCCTCTTAATGTTTATTGTTTTATTTTTCACCTAACAATACATGTTGAAAGCTTAAGTATTCAAAAAAGTTTTGATTTTGGACAACAAGCCATTTTTGAGCCTGAAATTTAAGTTAAAGCAAAAGAGATAATCGGAACCCGAACCGAACCATTCCTTTTATTTAAAGATTGCAAAGAAATAAATAAAATAAGTAGCATAAATAAGGTGTGGGTTCTTGGGTGTGGCATCAGCATTAGCCCTATTGAGCTAAAATCTTAACGAAAAATGATTTTGTTGCCTTGCTAAACTTAGTATAATCTTAATTATTTCGAACCATAGTTGAACTCTATATATGGCTTATTGTGGTAGCGCATTCGCATAATTCGGCTATGGCCGATTAAATCTCAGCTGAACATTCCAGAGACGTTTGCAAATTGGTTTGCATTTGAAGACAAAACGACAGCGGAGTCGACGAAGCGCAGTAAAATGGGAAATTTGTGCAAACATTGAGACATCCCTTTACCCCAAAAACACCTTGAATACGCTGGAAGGGCGATAGAGAGAGCGAGAGAGAGAGAGAGAGGGGTGTGAGAGTGTGAGGGCGTAACACAAGACGCAGGCAAGTAAACTTTGCACGTAGTCAATTTAAATAAATTAACACGCTGTTCGCTGTGTGTGTGTGATTGGGAAGGGGGAAGGGGGAGACAGCGTAATGCGACTTATGGGGCACGAATGAAACACTATGGTACATATATTGTGGCCATACGGCAAACGCGTCCCACTGTGCTGCAATATGCCAAAAATTTGACATGGCCACGTAGCGACGAGAATCGGAGTTGGCATCGCCCATTCCAAGGGGGTATCAATGTACAAATGCCCGGGTGGGTTTTTGTGTGAGTTGTGTGGTTTCGAGGGCTTAGCTTTGAGGATTGCCAGTGGCACTGCGGTGCCCTGCAATATGCAACACAACCGCACCCCCCCGGTTGCGCCAGCTACACACGCATAAATCTTCAAGTTTATGGCATCAATAAATGTCGGAGCGAAATAATGATTTCGTCAAGTTGCCATTGTGCAATGCTATCCGGGTAACCCTCCCCCTTTTGGCCCCTTTTCCGTCATAACTCTGTTGTGCTGCATTCAAACCGACACGGGGGGTGGCTCCCTGTTTGTGAGCTACTGGGGAAATGTGTGTGTAAGAAGTATAGGGTATTTTATACTATACTCAGTTGTGGGAATGCCTTATGCTCTCTATTTATTCTTAGCTTAGGTGCATTTTGCAGTAGATCCTAGAAAAAGCGATTGGTATCAAGTATTTCAGTTAAATGTTAACATTTCAATTGCTGTAATCTAAATGTTAAATAACATTTGTAGATTTCGATGTCAGCAATCCGAATTCAGTTATCCGAAATGTATTTTTTTTATTGCGATTTCGGAAATATGAAATGTTAAGTTAATTTCTATATTCTGTACAAAATGTAAATTACTATTATAACTTTTAAATTTATCACCCATTTATTTGATTTTATATTCTTAATTTTAAGTAAATGAAATCCCAGACCTGATACACCCGTCTCAATGCCATAGGAAAGTGCTATCAAAATTGTGGGCGTTTACACGCCCACTGAAAAGAAAGGCTTCGCACATTGGGCGTACAATTTATTTATTGAGCGAAATTTACTTGGAATTTTATGACAAGCTCATCTGCATATGCGCCCAATGCCAGGAGCAGCAGGAAGACAAGCTGAATCATTTGCTAGGGGTTGGTGCTGGGGGGCTGAGTGGAAGGCGGGTGGGGGGGTGACAACCGTCAAGGGCTGACAGCAGCAAAGCACTCGCGCTAGCTTATCAATTGCCGCGGGCAAAAGTTTTACGCAGTTTTTACGAGCCGCCCTCGCATGGCAGCGCGCCATAAAAATGTCGTAAATTCGCAGAGCGAAAGTTTCTCGAAGCATGAAAGCCCGACGACTCAACTTGGTCTCAGTTTGGCTCAACGGCTCGACTCATAAAGCTGGCGGCATCGTAAAAACCTTAATTAATTTTCTAATCAACATTTTTCCTGCATGTAAATCGGCTGCTTATGACTGTGTGTGTAGCATAATTTTAGGCCCTGTATTTAGCTGTTGTTGTTGTACTTAACTATGCCTTGGCCTTCAACTCCATTAGTTCCCAGTTGCCTAAGCCGTCGCTATATGTCAAAATAACGGCTATGCCCGTAAAGTTGAAGGGAATGGCGAGGACCAGCTCCAATCGCGCTGGAGCTCCAGCTGACATTGGCGCCATCGATTTACATGCCCAAAGTTGCCCCTTAATATTGAATGTGCCGATTATATAGATTTTTTCTGTACAATTGGTTTGATATTTGTATTATTAGCCTCCCTTAGCGACTGTAAAACTAACGAGACATTTGTTAAATATGTATTTAAATCAAGGAAGAAAGATAATGAATAGAAACTAAAAATGGCAAAAGGTAGAGAGCTTTTGCAATTGCGATCCCCGTGCGAAGACTAATGAAATCCAAAAGAAGAGAAGTTCGAGGGATTATTTAGGCTGAAAGGGTTTTGCAACAGATTTTATAGGTCGCAAAATGCCAGGCACTGCAAGTAGCAACTGCTTTTGCTTCATGCCATTCACAGAGGCATACTATTATTAAAAAACCATGCACGGACATAATTGCATAGTTTTAATTGTTCATTTGTTTTGCTGATGAGGTTTTTAATATATTCAACATGAATATTACGCATACGCCTCGTTATGCCGTAGAGAATTGCGTCTAGGGCCAATTAACAGACAATATTCATTTTGTGCAGCACTGCAAATTAATTTAAATATTTAAAGACTTTAATTATTTTTAACTACCCAGCCCAATACCCAAAGCAGCCACGCAGTCAACACAGCAGTCGCGTATGGAGCAGGACGCCGGGACATGTGTGCCTCATGGGCTGCATGGGCCAGATGGGCAACATGGCAACATGCGACAACAGTCAAACAGCCAAGCGTAAACTTAACTGACAAGTGGAGACTTAACTTCCATAACAAATTGCATTCCAATTGCACGTCGGAGCAGTCGCCGTGCCGTCGCAGTCCTGACAGCAGCGTCCTGTCCTGCCACACCGAAGTCACAGCCATGAGGCATAAACAAATACACACACACACACACACACATGCGTGCTTAACCACACGTAGAGCGCCATTGCTGTTAATTTAAATTGCTTTAAAAAACCTTCAGAGATGCAGAAATAAATGCAAATGCAAACTCTAAAGTTCACTTGATTGAGCTTAAGATATCCTTTAAGTATTTACCAACACTGAATATTGCTGTTATGTCAACAAATATTTAAAAAGCATAAAAAATATGTTATCACAATTCAAATCAACTTGTATTTACAAGTATTTATTAATTTTAGTTAATTGTAGCATTATTTGTTATTTATTTGAAATCAGCTTTGTTATACAAAACTAAATTTAAATTTAAGTATTTATTAGTAAACGAGATGTTCTGTTAACAAGCTGTTAGCGGACAGTGGGCTGTAGCAATACTTACTTTGGCATATCCTCCTTGCGTGGAGTACAGGGTATAAGAAGAGCGACTACAGCTCAAACGGTAACAGGAGCAGCTCCTGCAGCGCTCTTGAGCTGCACACACGGCCAGGCCATGCACGAAGTAATCCTAAAGGGTGTGAAAATATGAATGCAGCCAAGAGTATCCATCATTGTAGACGGGGAACGCTGAAGACGCGGAGCTGTTGTGCCACATTGCGCATAGCATAAAATGAAAAGGAGAAGAAAATAAACGAGCACACACTGAAAAGAAAAACAAAATTATGTATTATGCAACTTGGCAAGTCGCGACAGACCGGCACACAGGGAGCACGGTGCCTCCTTAGCGGGAGGAGTGGATGCAGCAGACACATTTGCTCCTCAGTTGCCAGCTCAGTTGCAGTTT